CCCCCCCCCCCCAAATCCTAAACCCTAAACCCTAAACCCTAAAACCCTAAACCCTAAAACCCTAAAACCCTAAACCCTAAACCCTAACCCCCAAAAAAAAAATCTGCTGCTGAGCAGGTCCTCGCGTGGCGGATTTGCCCTCTTAGTCGCATTCGCAGCCTCGCTGCCATGTGCAATCGCATCATATGCATGGGGGCTCCTATGCGGGGTTTAAGGCAAATCCTAAGCCCTAAAGCCTTAACTTTAAATCCTAAACCCTAAAGCTCCCAAACCCTAAACTCCTTAACCCCTATACCCTAAAACCTAAACTCTAAACCCTAAGCCCTAAACCATTGGATTTCCTTTCTGTTGGAACTTGGGTCTTCAGTGTTTAGATCTTCGGGCTCAGCGTCTGCAGTTTAGGGCTCTAGCCTTCCGGAGTTTAGGTGAGGGTTTGGGGTGTTTAGGGTTTCAGGGTTCAGGAGTTTGATTTCGGTTTAGGGAACCTCAACCCTAAACCCTTACCCCTAAACCCTAAACCCTTACCCCTTATTCGAAAGACTCTACGGGCTAGGGTTGTGTCTAAGACATTTTCAGGTGGGTCGCTACCGTTATAGGAGCCTGAAGGTCTATATACCTTATAGAAGCCTTATAGAAGGTGGGCACGCCTTATTTTCCCTGGCATTCTCCTGTGTTTCTTGCACATAGCGGGCGTTATCGTGTGTGTTTTTTCGCAGATAGGCGGCATTCTGGTGTGTTTTATCGTAAGGTGTTTGCGTTTTCCTGTGTTTTTCCCAGTGTTTGCATCCAGCATCCGTGTTCCCACACAGCATCCATGTCCCAACCATGTAAACGTCCACACAAAGTCCGTCCGTTCCCAGAGAGCATCCATGTCCCAACTATGTTAACGTCCACACAAAGGCCGTCCGTTGCCACAGAGCATCCATGTCCCAACCATGTTAATGTCCACACCAGAGCATCCATGTCCCAACCATGTTAACGTCCACACAAATGCCGTCCGTTGCCGCAGAGCATCCACGTCCCAACCATGTTAACGTCCACACAAAGGCCGTCCGTTCCCACAGAACATCCATGTCCCAACCATGTTAACGTCCACACAAAGGCGTCCAATGTCTGGGAGCGCTTTCTTCTTTGGGGTAATGTCCAGTAGGTCTTGCGAACACCGTACACTCCTTTCGGCAATCTTCTTGGCTCGCTGTAGTTGCTGGGTCATGGAGGCATCAGCATCGCAGGTGCAAGCATGGCTCGACCTTGGCTTGCCTGAGAGTTCTGAAGAGCTCGGTGACTCGCCGCAGGCTGCTAGGTGCAAGCGTTGGTGGGCTCGTCAGCTGCAAAGTTTCCAGGCGTGGGAGCAGTCGACAGACTTGGATGCGACGACAGTCATCCACATCGGCGACGATGACAGTGAGCCTTGCTCTTCGCCTCCAATGAGGGCGCCCTCTTCAGCTTCGCCGCACTCACCTTTGCCTGGCACGAGTCGGACTCCTGAAAGTACGCTGAAGCACCCCAGTGGTTCAGAACTGTTTATGCAGACGTGCGCACGGGCCTGCAAAGGAATGCGCAACGGCTCTAGGTTGTTTTTCTTACCGGTTTCACTGTGACTTCGGGTACTCCTGCTCCTGGCCTAACTTTTCGGGTCTTCTACTTCAAATGACGGCAGAGTCAAGTCTCTGCATGCTGTGTTGAAGGACGTTCCTTTCAGATGTTGGGGTGCAAGGATTGCCCAGCATCCAAGTTGCAACACGAAACAGAAGAGGCAAAACCATGTCCGGTAGTCCGCTAGTCCTTGCAGACCTCACGGTGTTGCAGCTGTGCGCTTTGAACGTTCTGTCACCCACTCTGCGGCTCCACTGTTTCGGGAAGACGCACATGTTGCAGCTGATGTCGGCTCTACAGTTTTTGTACCGAGCCTCAGCAAATTTGGATCCAGAAGCCCAGGAACGCTGGCGATGCTACTATGTGCAGCTGCTTCACCGTGTAGCTCTGGGGCTCTACATGTTGAAGCGACGTGTCAGCCAGGGAGACCATGTCCAGGAGCACGGGCATGCAGACGCGTGTCCCTAAACCCTAAGCCGTAACCCCTAAACCCTGCACCATAAGCCTTAAACCCTTTTCTCTTCCTAGGACCTTGATGTGCTGGAGACCGTCGCAGATATCATGACTTCCATCTTGGAAAGCAGATGGTGGTTGGCTCAGCATGTGAAAGCCAACCTGCCGCCTCCATTGCTGCAGCCTGCTCCAACTTCCTTTCGACAGCAAGTCGCTCTGGAGTTTGACCCCCTGCCACATGGAGACAATCTGCGGAGGCTATGGCATCTGAGATGAGCACAGTCTTTGATCACATGCAGCGGAATCCTTTGGCATACAGTTCCCCTGCTCGCAAAGCGGATACCTTCCGAAGGTTCGCAGTTTTGGTAGATGACTCAGCTCTACTTCTCCAAGGTCTGTTGCAAGAGCCTGCAAGCAGCAGTCACTTCTAGCCGTTCCGAGCCACTGCTAAAGAGGGAAGCTTCTGCGTGCTGACTGTCGCCTTTGTCTTGCTTGCTTTAGGGGTGAGGGTTTATGGGTTAGGGTTTAAATCATGACGCTGGTGATGATGATGATTTCTTTGATGACGCTGGTGATTATGATGATCATGCTCATGGTGCTTGAGTATGTTGATGATCAGCAACGAGATGCTGACTTTCTGCAGCTGCTGCGCGTGAGCGTACATTCCTGATGTTGCATCCTCTCTTTGCAGTTTTGGCTCTGGCTCGCAATGCCGGGTAAGAGCAAGTGGGAGGTTTGCGCGTTCAGGCTGCAAACTCTTTTCTGCTTTTCTGCAGGCCAGAAACTTCCTCGGCTGCGTTCTCCAACGCGAAGCCACTGCAGGACACGACAACATTAGGCACAATGAAACATCAGACTCCTTGTAGCATACTTTCCTTTTGTGGCCTGCGCATGTCAGGACGGCAGCTGGAGAACAGCACGTGCCTGCGACGGGAGATAGAATGTCCACGGGACTGGGGAAGTTCTGGGTCAGACGTTCTGATCCCAAACTTCTCGGAACAATTCATGGTTTTGGATGCTAGGAGTGGGCAAAAGCTGAAAGCTTTCCCTGCCCATGCCCGTGTGCCCTATGCTCCTGAGCGTGCTGCCTCCAAAGTTGACACTGCCCAGAAGTGTTCCTCCAGTCGAGTCTTGGGAAGACATCGCGAATTCAAACTTGCTGCGGCGTGTCGCCACGAGCGGTCCTCGGGCTTTGTATGCCGACGGAGCCACGGCATGGAAGCGAGCAGCCAATCATTTGGGGATTGCTTGTCACCAGGTGAGCCACTCAGCCAAGGAGTTTACACGAGAACGTAAAGGTGCGCGGAACGAGCCAAGCTCTTCCCGAGGCTTGTCATTGGTCTGTGGAACACGGTCCATTGATAGGGCATGGGCTCAAATGAAGAAGATGTTTCCCCAGCATGCTCCCGTCAAGATTCGCACCGAAGACGGGAGTCACCAGCATCCGACAGTGGAGACACGAGTGTACTCCTGGACTCCTGGCTCTGGCGACATAGTCTGAACGTAGCGGTGTTGTCGTCGCTCGCTGGCATCTTGACCTCAGTAAACCATGTATTCCGATCTACGGAGCTGTCTCTTAACTCTTAAACAAAGAAATACGTAGGCCTAGGCAGGAGGAGTCAAGTGCTGCGAGCGGCACCATGGCAGGCACGAATCTGGCTTTGGGTTCGGAAAAGGTCCTTTGGCCATCTCCCAAGACCTCTCCCAAAGCCTTATGCCCTGAACCCCTCTAAGAAGGTCAAGCCACGATAATCATAAGAATATCAGTCGTTTACAATCATGAGAACGATCACAAGTCATTCTTAGTATCCTGTCGGGCTTAAGGTCGTTCTGAATCAGTTTCTTGGGCGCTTGAAGTTGCACAGATTTGGACTTCTAGAAGGATTAGTTTTTAAGGCCCCAAACTAGCTTATGCTCAAAAGTCCCACGCCTGCCACGTAAGACAAACCTTAAATCAGCCCAAACTACCAGTGAACAAAAAACGCGACAACCTTATAGAAGCCCTATCTACCCTAAACTCCCCACCTGTAGTTTTCTTTAATTGTGGGTGAATTTTCTAGTATGAGTATGTCGGGGCTATCATGGGGCACTACTTATTCAGAGTTCGGTCGGTACGGGCTTTAGGGGCTAGTGTAGGGGCCTTAACAATTCGAATAGGGTCGGGGTATACTATACTATAAATATAGTAAGATCCTTACTTAGTAAGGATCCCCCAAAAGAGTATAGGTAATTATTACTGTTTAGGATTTAGGGTTTAATGTAGTTGTTTTCCCTAAGGGTCCAAGTGCCCAAATGGTAGGGTTTCAAGGTCCACAAACCATTAAGAGTATGGATTCTGGGACCTAAACCCTTACCCTTTGGGTACTCAGACCCTCTGGGGAACCCGAAACCCTAAACCCTAAACCCCAATTCCTACATATATGTTTGTAGTAGGATCCCGGAGAGGGTTGTAAGGTATATCCTATTCCTCAACTACGGCTGATGATCTAAATCCGGCATTATATTAAGGACCCTAAACTATGGGAATTCTGGTATATTCCTTGCTATCGGTAATGCAGGTTTTATATCATCCACCGTATTATTGCAAGGATTCATGGAAGGTCTGGGAGGTTAGTAAACCCCTAAACCCTAAACCACTAAAGTTTAGGGTTTAGGGGTTTAGGGTTTAGGGCCTAAACCGTAAACCCTAAGCAGTAGACTGACCATTTAAGCCGAGGATTTGCCACGTGGAGCTTACAACGAACTAGGAGTCTCTGGCGTTCTGCTTCCCGTTTAGGGGCTTAGGGGTTTAGGAGTTTAGGGCTTGGGGTTAGGGTTTTTGGGGGTTTAGAGTTTAGGTTTTAGGGGTTTCGAGGTTAAGGGTTTAGGGCTTTCGGGTTAGGGTCCATACTGGGTTTATGGAGTTAGGCCCCAAAAGACCATCCCGATCATGACTTTGGGACCTACTTCAATAATGGTCGTAGATATGGAGCCTCTTGGACATTAAGCGGCATGGTGCTTTTGTTGCGTATCACCTACACCCGAAAGTCCTGGCACCTCAAATCGGAGTATGTAGCTCCTCCGAGTCGACACTTAGAGTCTACTGGGTCCTTGTTGGATACAATTTTATATGTTTGTTCTCATAAAACCCTAATAAGGATTAAGAGTTAATATGTTTTCATATGGCCCCAACAGGGAACCAGTCTACCAAAGGGCCGAAGTCCCTGAACCCTAAACCATACTTGGAGGCCCAGGGGATTTAGTAAGTCGGTCATAAGTAGGGTTATAAGTAGGGTAACTCCATTTAGGGTACTTATAACTCTACTTATAACCCACTTACTAAGTCCCCTAGGCCTCCAAGTACCCTACCGTCCGTTCCACGCCAGCTCTGGACGTCCGCCTTGGCTATGCAGATGGCAGGGCACTCGGGCAAGCTTATCCCAAAGGGCTATTATGAATTGGGAAAGTATCCCCCAGAACAGTACCTAGGACCCTTTGCCTATGTGAAACATCGTGAGACTCAGTTATCTCTACCGAGTCCCACATTTTGAAGGTTTTCTTAACGGATTCCCCTTAAACCCTAAACCCTAGACCCCAAACTGGTTCTTCAAAGGATCTACAAAGTCTTCATAAGGGTTTAGCGTTTGTTGCAGGATCGTTGGACCTGGGAAGTTCCTTGAAGGGTTCTTAAAGGGATCTAGACGGTGTGGCTTCAGAGTTGACGTGTTTTGTACGATTTTATGAAGACTGCAAAATGAGTCTTCAAGGGCTTAAGGTTTAAAGGTTCAAGGTTTTAAGGTTCAGGGCTTGCGGCTTTAATAATCAATTGGACTTAGGGTTTTAGGTTTAGGGTTTACCCTAAGTAAGGGGTCCAAAGGAAGGACCTACTAATCAGATATTTGGGCTACAGATAGTAGTTTTGTGGGTTACTATTTGGGAGAGGATATGATTATTGGGTACTCGGACCTTAAGGGTTAAGGTAGAAAAAATTACCGTGAAAAAACGGAGCTTTGCAGGGGCTCCGAACTCGATGCCCGCACCCCGAAACCACGAACTGTTTTATCTTGGACGGACCCGCCCCAAAGGACCCTAAGTCCCAAGTACTTGGATGGTGGATATATTCCTAAATCATCATGATAGTAGTTCCTTAAACAAAAACCTCTAATCCTAAACCCTAAGTACCTACTATGCAGGTATATGACCCTTTGGGCGGCAGGGTTCTCTTTGGAAGCTTGGTGGTCTGTTTTGGCATAATTTGGGGTTTAGGGTATAGGGTTTAGGGTTGGGGTTTGGGGTCAAGGGTTTAGGATTTATGTTTTAGGGTCAGGGTTTATGGTTTAGGATTTAAGGTGCGGTAGTGGTCCTGTAGGGAGAAGGGTTTGTGTGAAGGTTTTGGTCAGTGTACAGAGATCAAGGGCTATATTATGGGTTCTCTTACGCAAGTAACCAAACAGCCCTTGTAACTCTGTTTACCTACAGTTGAGCAGCCATTACCCCTTTTAGTAGGTAGAGCCCATAAATGCTTTAGGTAATTAGAGTCCCAGGCCCCAAAAGCCCTGTAATTTATGGTCCTTACACCCTAAACCCTAAAACTGCTAAACCCCTAAACCCCTAAACCCTAAACCCCTAATCCCTAAACCCTAAACCCTAAACCCTTAGAGTATGAGTCCTTAGACAGAGCCTTCGGGAGGGATACCTTGAGATGAAGCGCAAAAAAAACCTAACCACGACACCCTCGGGAGCCCTCGGAGTGTACCCGGAGACTCCAGAGCCGCAAAGCCCTAAATTTCGAAAAGGCAGTTGTTTAGGGTTTTAGGGTTTAGGGCTTTAGGGTTTTAGGGTTTAGGGTTTAGAGTTTAGGTTTTAGGGTTTAGGTTTGGGACAACCAATAAGCAGACTCACGCAGGGCATGGAAACCTAGCCTGCCGTTGGCAATTTCTTGTAAGCCTAAACGCTGCACTAAGACGGAATCTGACTAGTTGACCTCAACCCTTAAATCCTGAACCCCTAAACCCGCAACCCCTAAACCCTGAAACCCGAAACCCCTAAACTTTTAGACCTTATCATACTCATGCAGGATATATATATATATAATAATATAATATATATATATATAACATACATATATATATATATGGGAACCCTACCGTTCATAAGAGTCTAAAGCCCCGCAACTCTTTAAGGAGACGAGGGAGTCTTCTTATAAAGCTATATAGCACAGGGGGGTTTAGGGTTGGGGTTTAGGGGCTAGGGCTTAGGGCTCAGGGCTCAAGGTGTAGGGCTTTGGGTTTAGGGTTGGGGTTTAGGGCTTAGGGCTTAGGGCTCCGGGCTCAAGGTGTAGGGCTTTGGGTTTAGGGTTTAGGGGGTTAGGGG